CAGATATATATATATATATATATATATATATATATATATATATATATATATATATATATATATATTGTTACTTAGTACTTAATTGCAAGCGATAGTATTTGTCTATGGAAGAAACAATTGAGTAATAAGAATTATAGATATAGTATTATACGTTCTTAAACAATAAAATATTAATGAATTCTTATGGTTGTGACACTATTCGCGAATGTTGGTACAATCGATTGTAACATGATGGAAACGATAAATAGTACAAGCATGATATACTTAACGGCGATGAACAAGCATTACTGATAACGAAGGCGACGTACAGATAACAATTTACAAACTACAATACGATACATCGATTATACAGTAACGTTATAACATATTTCTGCTAACAGATTATTATTTTCCTCGTTAATTATAATTATTATCGTTAACCCCGATCATTCGAGATTTATATTCTCATAGTGAAACAAAACTGTGTCCATAACAAAAAGAATGCAAAATCTAGCACAACATATTTGTTCTTCTAACAAAGGGTACAAATTATCAGTCTTTGACAATATCTCATGCTTTAACGGTGATAACTGTGCAGTTATTTCTTGCACAAAATTATTTTCTAGCTGTCTTGAATATGATAATACAACTTAACATCGCATTCTATTTAAACACTTACTGATAGCCGTTAAAGCAGCACTGCCACTTAACGGTGTACTCTACATATAAAACGTTTCAAAAGATAACGATTATTGCTACTTCTAAAATCGATTTTCTCAAAATCTTATAAGAAAATACGTATACAATACACCAAAAAAATTATATACACATAGCAATTGGAAAAGGAAGATAAAGTAAAGATAAAAAATATACGGATTCGTAACCAGAGACAGGAACGGAGTAAAATACGTCTATCGAGAATTCGAAATTCGAAGAAACGCTATGATAAAACTTTGATCGGTCGTGTCCGTAATGATTCAACAGGGTACGACAAGCAATCGTTAGCCGTGTAGCACACAGTTCTATAAATCATTGACTGTTTCAGGCTGTGTGGGTGTTCAGCTTAATTGATTATGAGCCACCGACCTACCACAATGGCGAATACGAGTACCCACGGTGGGCAGAGGCGATCGGCTGGGGAATAGCTTCTCTTTCTCTCATTTGCATTCCCGCGTTTGCTATTTACGAGTTCATCAAAGCCAGCGGCAACACTTGCGCCGAGGTACGATAACGAAAGCACTCGTTTAGATGCCGATTAAACTTAGTTTGCCGCGTCGAAACCGTAATTCGACTGTTCTGTCTTTCAGAAATTGTGGAACTCGATTAAGCCGCATTTCGAGGCGTGCAAGATCTGCGGTCAAGAGTACTGCACCGAGCCTATGCATAATTTCGAGGAGGACATGATAAAAGAGCAGCAAGACCCGAACAGCCCGATACAACTTACTACCAACAGCCTTCTACCGAAATCGCCGTCATGATCGAACGAGGAAACCGGATAAAATCGATACGTAACTTCGAGTACCTTCGTTTGCAACATCGAACGATCCCGAAAGGCGTAGTTAATTATTGATCGAAATGAAAGCCGAGACGTCTTCCTGCTTCGACGTTTAGAAGAATGGGACACTTTTAGGATTTGACTACGGGAAGAGAAGCATCGATCGGAGCTTGTCTATATTTTACGGAAATTTTGATTAACTATTTATCAAAGTTTTGTGATTCTTGTAGATAGAAAACTGATACATGGCGAGACCCGTGTAAGGTTTATGCACAGCTTTTTACGAGAGAATGATTCCCTTCGTTGAGCGTATTTTAATTTTGATCGGCATGAACTTTTTTTGGAGATTCCGAGCCGACCGTGATCTGATAAAGATTATATCAAAAGTAATCGAACTCAGCGGAAATATTTCATTTGGATAGGTGACTATAGCCATCTTTAGGAGGTTTCAAGAAGCATCTAGCGGCAGACAATTATAGTCAGCTTTGATAACGAAAGGATTATCCGTTTTTTTTAAGTGTCATTAAGCTAATCTGGAGGACAGTCGTCTCGCTTAATTACGCTGACATTAAAAAATAATTTTACTTATCTTGGAACGAGATTGCGGATTTTGCGCATTTGTGGCAAACGTGAATGTACAATATCGTAAGAAAAATTCGGATAAATTCAAGAATGCTGTTACTTGATTTTCAGCTTATTAAAATAAATTCTGTATCATTTGTCAGAATTGTTTTCAGTATCTACTCTTATGTAATTACTCAAGAGGAATCATTATCTTAATCGTGACACAGTAAATTAGCCCTAAATGAATTATTTAAGTTTATAATATTCCGTAAATTATTGCAAAAATAGAACTAGCAACTTTTTATAGCCTTTTATTTAATTGGTAATAGCTGCAAAATAAGATACGGTTCGGAACGTTGTTGTTAGTTTAGTAATCGGAAAACTGGTCTCGCAACGATTTTATTGACAGAGGCGAACAATGCTACACGCGCATAATCTTTATTCGAACGCAAAGACAATCGACATTCCGTTACTTCGTGATTTGTGTACAGTGATGCGCAGATTTGTTCAGTTAAGAACATCGTGAGGTCGAATTTTGAGAAATCAATTTTCGAGGTCACTTAGAATTGGACATGAAAGAAGGAGAATTGCGAGCTTACAAATAATTACGAGTTTTAAATAAAAAATGAAAATAATTTTGTCACTTTTCTCAAACTTCGTACAATCAGACTTCCGTCAATAAATTCGAACAAATAAATCGCATAGTTCAATACTTTATTCGATCATACATCAACCTTCGAATTATCATTATTTTTATTATAATATGCATAATTAGTTAAGCATATTATAGAAAAGCGAACTATGTATACAAGTCATTTCGAAGATTACCTCATTCTTTTACCTAAATTGTAACTACTACTTCGAACAAAAAATAGAACATAACTTTTCTGTATTTTCGTTATTACTCACATCCATTTAACAAATAAAAAAGTACTGTTATTCAATTGTGATCATTGCAAAGGCGATGCTAAATTATTTTCAGGCAGTGGAATTAGTTATAGATGATAGCTGACGTTTCATTATACGTGCGTCCGCACGTAATTGTATAAAGTTGTAACGCATTAATCAAACAGCATATATGTTATTGCTGTTGTTCATAGACCTAATTAGCAAACCTACCATCGCGTCTATAGTATGTTGTACATTAATGTATCGTAATATATATTAACACGTCGTATTAAATAACACGCCGGTTTAAATGCACTGCGATTAGTAAACCGATGTACCATACATAGACGGCGTTAAGTAGAAAAACAAGTACAAATGCTATAACATTTTCTCACACTTGTACATTTTTATGGAGTAAGTAGCAACGCTGAAGCGGCCGTATCGGACGAGCTACAAAGGGTGGCTGCGTAAGCTAATTAAGTGCAACGTGACCGAACACGTGGCGAAACAAACGCGTCGCTGATACAGTATTCAATGCTGGATGCGTTGTGTATGAAACTTTGCGAAACGAAACGACAACGTACAAAGTCGAATTGACGATAATAAAAGCGTATTGAACAAATTCATATGTAATTAATTCACGAATGTAATAAATCATTATTACGATTTCATTCGGATTTGTAAACCGTGACTTTTAACATTCATATCGATAGAACAAAGAAAGGTATAAAGCATAGTTATAAACTATGGTATAAACTAAGCATGTAATGCAAAGGTATAATCAATAGCGAAAATTATATCTAATGATGAAAACTTCAAGTTACGAGATAAAACGATTTTACTTTGACTGTAAACGAACATCTTTCATCGATATCATCATTCCTATATAAACGTCATTTTATTAGTTTCAACAACAATAAAGTTGTTCTTCTCTGTCAAGGTTATGTTTCTTTAATTATATATATGTAGATTGTTACGATTTATACTCAAGTAGAATTTTCACTATTTGGATTGCATTTTGTGTAATAGACTTTTCATTAAATTCTGATAGTGTAATCTTAAGTAAGCGATGTAATGTATAGCTGATATAATTACATCAGGATCGAAAATATCTTCTTGAAGTAATGCATTGGATTGAAATAACTTTGGCAGGCATTGAACAATTATTGAATCAGTATAAACTGGCAATAGGTATGAATGATTAAATAGAACAGCAATTATAAGGTCCAATAATAATTGAAAATTTCAGTTCAATGAATATTAATTACAAAATATTCTGAATCGAAATTATTTCTGATTCGATAGAATGATTTAAGCGAAACTCGCGTCGGAATGAAGGTTTAAAAAGTAATAAAGCATTAAAGATAGTAAAGAGAGAGAGAGTTAATTTGCTATTGTTACATATTCCTACTAACGATCAACAATGATAAATATTTCATCGTACACAAGTTGAACTTATATAATACGAAAGGCGGTATTACGCGGTGAATCCTCATACGTTAAATCGGATTTCTCTAATTGCATTATGCGCCCCGGAGCGAAGTTTCACGACAGAATCGAGTCATTCGAGTCCCATGCAACCCCAAGTTCGCTTCAAGGCAGCTCTTGAAAGCGTCCGTTCGTTAACGAAACCGAGAAAGGGGAAACATGACAAAGAAGTTTGAATTCAATTGGCTGATCGAGGTGCCGGAGCTGTTGAGAAATGGCTCGGTATTCGACCGATGGTTCGAAGACAAGGAATCGACGGAATTCGAGCCGAATTGTATGTTTAAAGTCGACGAATACGGATTTTTTATCTCTTGGAAGAGCGACGGCAAGGTACAACAAAGCAAAGCCTTTAAACGAGCATTAATTAGTCAGTCACTTCGATAATCATCGCGCAAATAATAGAAAGAGTTCAGATAAATAACTTCTTTTTTTATTTGAATATAAAATTTTTTTTATTCTTTATGTGAAATGATAACCGTCTACGTATAACTTGAAAATAATGTGTCCTAATCTCGATACAGTTCTATATTTTACTTATTCAGTTTTGCCATAAATGCATACAATCTGTACTCCATTTATTACTCTTCTATATGCATTAAAAATTCTTTTCCGTAAAGTATATTGAAACGGTAAATAGAAACATTTACGATAATGTTAATTTCAATTTTCATAATAGTTCGGTATCTTTATCATTCAGAAATTAAATAAATTTCATTCAGAAATTTTACGTAAGATGTATTCAAATGATAGACACACTTTCGCAAGCAGAGCTTTCTAGTCATGACAATACTTCTGTATAAATATTGGTGGAAAATAATTTGAATTGCGCATATACAAAATCGAGGAATCATTAATACGCCAATGACCTATTATAAATTAATAATTATTGTAGCTTAGAGGAAATAGTTTTCATAACAACTATGTCTTTATGCAGGATGGTGATGTAATCGAGTTGGCCCAAGTGAGCGATATTCGTTATGGCGGCACGCCAAAGGTAACAATTCTCATAATTATGAAGTCTTATGAATCTCGGTACCGTCATATCTATATTAAGGAATATAACTCCGTTTCATTTTCGCTAGTAAAATATTTCAATCTTTTTTTCCTTCTTTATATATATTCTCTAAAATATCAATCTCATCGAATTGACGGACTTGCACTGCTTTAATTCCTAAAAGTTCATTCAACTACTAATTTATTTTGTAATTCAGTTTGCTTGTTATTTTCAAATAACTTTGCACTACAATTTATTTCACATTTATGTAGATTAGTTCGTCATTAACACGTTCTTATACGGAAATATAAATATAATACATGTATATTTATTGTATGTTTGCATTCATTGTAATTGTCAAATATCGACAATAACAAAACTTTATTTTATTTCCATTTTAAAGAAATGGAATAACATCTGTATTTAGTAGATTATTGTCGAAATCTTCGTAACGAGTCTGACACACCGTGCAAGAGGTTAAAATATTTATTTAGAAAATGAATAGAACTATTGTCAACCAATGATATACAAAAGTATGCAGAATAGAAATCGAAAGAAAATTCAGAAGTTCGCGATTATAATAATTCGTGGAAAATGCTGTTGGCAATATTAAACATTTTAGGATCCAAAGTTGTGTAATAAAGTGAGTAAACACGGGACCATGGAACAAATAGACGAGAAGAGCTTAACTATCTGCTCCGGTATCGATTACACGAACATTCATTACCAACACGTTATATGTGCGGACGCACAAACAGCCAAGGTAATGACGGCAATAAATAAAGAAAATGACAATTAGCTAACGTTTACTTGCCACGATTTAAGTTTTCTGAGACACTGTGATTGATCTAGGACTGGCAGGCTGGATTGCGAAAAATTACGCATAACACGAAAGCGTCGAACGTTTGCCCAACGATTCAATTGATGAAACAGTACGTACCTTTCGAATGCGCCACGTCAGTTCACGATTACGTACGAATCTTATCGATCGCTTTCAAATTAAAATCCGTTTATTTATTAACTTAGTTGGATGAGATTAAGTTTCCAAGTGGATTCAAAAGGAAAAGTGCCTGTGAAAGTAATATCGAAAACTTTTGCCTCTGGAAAAACTGAGAAACTCGTTTATCAAGGTCTGTCGGAGTTAGGCTTACCTAGCGGGAAGGTAAGATTCCCCCCCCCCCTTCAACTTTCAATTTCTCTACATTTTTATTCAATTTTTTCGACGACGCTGAAAACGCCGACCAATTCTCATAAAGCTAAAAGTGAAACAGGATGCCGCGCGTGCAGTAATGCCGCGTATACACTATCGCATCCCCATTCTATTGTTGTGTCATTTGTGACTGTCAAGAAGATTATGCAAAATTTTACCTTGAATGCTTACCTTGAATAATTATTGCTATTTAATTTTAATCTGATAACAGTGATTTAGATTTTCAAATAACATGGTCTACCTGACTGGCAATATCTTTTCGAATATGTGAATAACAATAAAGATCTCTATTTAATTTTAATCTGATAACAGTGATTTAGATTTTCAAATAACATGGTCTACCTGACTGGCAATATCTTTTCGAATATGTGAATAACAATAAAGATCTCTATTTAATTTTAATCTGATAACAGTGATTTAGATTTTCAAATAACATGGTCTACCTGACTGGCAATATCTTTTCGAATATGTGAATAACAATAAAGATCTCTATTTAATTTTAATCTGATAACAGTGATTTAGATTTTCAAATAACATGGTCTACCTGACTGGCAATATCTTTTCGAATATGTGAATAACAATAAAGATCTCTATTTAATTTTAATCTGATAACAGTGATTTAGATTTTCAAATAACATGGTCTACCTGACTGGCAATATCTTTTCGAATATGTGAATAACAATAAAGATCTCTATTTAATTTTAATCTGATAACAGTGATTTAGATTTTCAAATAACATGGTCTACCTGAATGGCAATATCTTTTCGAATATGTGAATAACAATAAAGATCTTTATTTAATTTTAATCTGATAACAGTAATTTAGATTTTCAAATAACATGGTCTACCTGAATGGCAATATCTTTTCGAATATGTGAATAACAATAAAGATCTTTATTTAATTTTAATCTGATAACAGTAATTTAGATTTTCAAATAACATGGTCTACCTGAATGGCAATATCTTTTCGAATATGTGAATAACAATAAAGATCTTTATTTAATTTTAATCTGATAACAGTAATTTAGATTTTCAAATAACATGGTCTACCTGAATGGCAATATCTTTTCGAATATGTGAATAACAATAAAGATCTTTATTTAATTTTAATCTGATAACAGTGATTTAGATTTTCAAATAACATGGTCTACCTGAATGGCAATATCTTTTCGAATATGTGAATAACAATAAAGATCTTTATTTAATTTTAATCTGATAACAGTGATTTAGATTTTCAAATAACATGGTCTACCTGAATGGCAATATCTTTTCGAATATGTGAATAACAATAAAGATCTTTATTTAATTTTAATCTGATAACAGTAATTTAGATTTTCAAATAACATGGTCTACCTGAATGGCAATATCTTTTCGAATATGTGAATAACAATAAAGATCTTTATTTAATTTTAATCTGATAACAGTAATTTAGATTTTCAAATAACATGGTCTACCTGAATGGCAATATCTTTTCGAATATGTGAATAACAATAAAGATCTTTATTTAATTTTAATCTGATAACAGTAATTTAGATTTTCAAATAACATGGTCTACCTGAATGGCAATATCTTTTCGAATATGTGAATAACAATAAAGATCTTTATTTAATTTTAATCTGATAACAGTAATTTAGATTTTCAAATAACATGGTCTACCTGAATGGCAATATCTTTTCGAATATGTGAATAACAATAAAGATCTTTATTTAATTTTAATCTGATAACAGTAATTTAGATTTTCAAATAACATGGTCTACCTGAATGGCAATATCTTTTCGAATATGTGAATAACAATAAAGATCTTTATTTAATTTTAATCTGATAACAGTAATTTAGATTTTCAAATAACATGGTCTACCTGAATGGCAATATCTTTTCGAATATGTGAATAACAATAAAGATCTTTATTTAATTTTAATCTGATAACAGTAATTTAGATTTTCAAATAACATGGTCTACCTGAATGGCAATATCTTTTCGAATATGTGAATAACAATAAAGATCTTTATTTAATTTTAATCTGATAACAGTAATTTAGATTTTCAAATAACATGGTCTACCTGAATGGCAATATCTTTTCGAATATGTGAATAACAATAAAGATCTTTATTTAATTTTAATCTGATAACAGTAATTTAGATTTTCAAATAACATGGTCTACCTGAATGGCAATATCTTTTCGAATATGTGAATAACAATAAAGATCTTTATTTAATTTTAATCTGATAACAGTAATTTAGATTTTCAAATAACATGGTCTACCTGAATGGCAATATCTTTTCGAATATGTGAATAACAATAAAGATCTTTATTTAATTTTAATCTGATAACAGTAATTTAGATTTTCAAATAACATGGTCTACCTGAATGGCAATATCTTTTCGAATATGTGAATAACAATAAAGATCTTTATTTAATTTTAATCTGATAACAGTAATTTAGATTTTCAAATAACATGGTCTACCTGAATGGCAATATCTTTTCGAATATGTGAATAACAATAAAGATCTTTATTTAATTTTAATCTGATAACAGTAATTTAGATTTTCAAATAACATGGTCTACCTGAATGGCAATATCTTTTCGAATATGTGAATAACAATAAAGATCTTTATTTAATTTTAATCTGATAACAGTAATTTAGATTTTCAAATAACATGGTCTACCTGAATGGCAATATCTTTTCGAATATGTGAATAACAATAAAGATCTTTATTTAATTTTAATCTGATAACAGTAATTTAGATTTTCAAATAACATGGTCTACCTGAATGGCAATATCTTTTCGAATATGTGAATAACAATAAAGATCTTTATTTAATTTTAATCTGATAACAGTAATTTAGATTTTCAAATAACATGGTCTACCTGAATGGCAATATCTTTTCGAATATGTGAATAACAATAAAGATCTTTATTTAATTTTAATCTGATAACAGTAATTTAGATTTTCAAATAACATGGTCTACCTGAATGGCAATATCTTTTCGAATATGTGAATAACAATAAAGATCTTTATTTAATTTTAATCTGATAACAGTAATTTAGATTTTCAAATAACATGGTCTACCTGAATGGCAATATCTTTTCGAATATGTGAATAACAATAAAGATCTTTATTTAATTTTAATCTGATAACAGTAATTTAGATTTTCAAATAACATGGTCTACCTGAATGGCAATATCTTTTCGAATATGTGAATAACAATAAAGATCTTTATTTAATTTTAATCTGATAACAGTAATTTAGATTTTCAAATAACATGGTCTACCTGAATGGCAATATCTTTTCGAATATGTGAATAACAATAAAGATCTTTATTTAATTTTAATCTGATAACAGTAATTTAGATTTTCAAATAACATGGTCTACCTGAATGGCAATATCTTTTCGAATATGTGAATAACAATAAAGATCTTTATTTAATTTTAATCTGATAACAGTAATTTAGATTTTCAAATAACATGGTCTACCTGAATGGCAATATCTTTTCGAATATGTGAATAACAATAAAGATCTTTATTTAATTTTAATCTGATAACAGTAATTTAGATTTTCAAATAACATGGTCTACCTGAATGGCAATATCTTTTCGAATATGTGAATAACAATAAAGATCTTTATTTAATTTTAATCTGATAACAGTAATTTAGATTTTCAAATAACATGGTCTACCTGAATGGCAATATCTTTTCGAATATGTGAATAACAATAAAGATCTTTATTTAATTTTAATCTGATAACAGTAATTTAGATTTTCAAATAACATGGTCTACCTGAATGGCAATATCTTTTCGAATATGTGAATAACAATAAAGATCTTTATTTAATTTTAATCTGATAACAGTAATTTAGATTTTCAAATAACATGGTCTACCTGAATGGCAATATCTTTTCGAATATGTGAATAACAATAAAGATCTTTATTTAATTTTAATCTGATAACAGTAATTTAGATTTTCAAATAACATGGTCTACCTGAATGGCAATATCTTTTCGAATATGTGAATAACAATAAAGATCTTTATTTAATTTTAATCTGATAACAGTAATTTAGATTTTCAAATAACATGGTCTACCTGAATGGCAATATCTTTTCGAATATGTGAATAACAATAAAGATCTTTATTTAATTTTAATCTGATAACAGTAATTTAGATTTTCAAATAACATGGTCTACCTGAATGGCAATATCTTTTCGAATATGTGAATAACAATAAAGATCTTTATTTAATTTTAATCTGATAACAGTAATTTAGATTTTCAAATAACATGGTCTACCTGAATGGCAATATCTTTTCGAATATGTGAATAACAATAAAGATCTTTATTTAATTTTAATCTGATAACAGTAATTTAGATTTTCAAATAACATGGTCTACCTGAATGGCAATATCTTTTCGAATATGTGAATAACAATAAAGATCTTTATTTAATTTTAATCTGATAACAGTAATTTAGATTTTCAAATAACATGGTCTACCTGAATGGCAATATCTTTTCGAATATGTGAATAACAATAAAGATCTTTATTTAATTTTAATCTGATAACAGTAATTTAGATTTTCAAATAACATGGTCTACCTGAATGGCAATATCTTTTCGAATATGTGAATAACAATAAAGATCTTTATTTAATTTTAATCTGATAACAGTAATTTAGATTTTCAAATAACATGGTCTACCTGAATGGCAATATCTTTTCGAATATGTGAATAACAATAAAGATCTTTATTTAATTTTAATCTGATAACAGTAATTTAGATTTTCAAATAACATGGTCTACCTGAATGGCAATATCTTTTCGAATATGTGAATAACAATAAAGATCTTTATTTAATTTTAATCTGATAACAGTAATTTAGATTTTCAAATAACATGGTCTACCTGAATGGCAATATCTTTTCGAATATGTGAATAACAATAAAGATCTTTATTTAATTTTAATCTGATAACAGTAATTTAGATTTTCAAATAACATGGTCTACCTGAATGGCAATATCTTTTCGAATATGTGAATAACAATAAAGATCTTTATTTAATTTTAATCTGATAACAGTAATTTAGATTTTCAAATAACATGGTCTACCTGAATGGCAATATCTTTTCGAATATGTGAATAACAATAAAGATCTTTATTTAATTTTAATCTGATAACAGTAATTTAGATTTTCAAATAACATGGTCTACCTGAATGGCAATATCTTTTCGAATATGTGAATAACAATAAAGATCTTTATTTAATTTTAATCTGATAACAGTAATTTAGATTTTCAAATAACATGGTCTACCTGAATGGCAATATCTTTTCGAATATGTGAATAACAATAAAGATCTTTATTTAATTTTAATCTGATAACAGTAATTTAGATTTTCAAATAACATGGTCTACCTGAATGGCAATATCTTTTCGAATATGTGAATAACAATAAAGATCTTTATTTAATTTTAATCTGATAACAGTAATTTAGATTTTCAAATAACATGGTCTACCTGAATGGCAATATCTTTTCGAATATGTGAATAACAATAAAGATCTTTATTTAATTTTAATCTGATAACAGTAATTTAGATTTTCAAATAACATGGTCTACCTGAATGGCAATATCTTTTCGAATATGTGAATAACAATAAAGATCTTTATTTAATTTTAATCTGATAACAGTAATTTAGATTTTCAAATAACATGGTCTACCTGAATGGCAATATCTTTTCGAATATGTGAATAACAATAAAGATCTTTATTTAATTTTAATCTGATAACAGTAATTTAGATTTTCAAATAACATGGTCTACCTGAATGGCAATATCTTTTCGAATATGTGAATAACAATAAAGATCTTTATTTAATTTTAATCTGATAACAGTAATTTAGATTTTCAAATAACATGGTCTACCTGAATGGCAATATCTTTTCGAATATGTGAATAACAATAAAGATCTTTATTTAATTTTAATCTGATAACAGTAATTTAGATTTTCAAATAACATGGTCTACCTGAATGGCAATATCTTTTCGAATATGTGANGATGTATGTACATCTTTGTGTATAATTTATAGTAAGTAGCTTTGAAGACCCTTCACTGTAGTAAGATTTTATGGAAAAGGTGACAGTTAATCGATATTATGTTACCTGCGCCATTACTTTAAAATTACATTAGCGAAAGATACTTATGCATGTGAGTATTATGCATAATTATTAATCAAGCACTTTGCATATAGTATAAGTACTGTAATACAAGTACATACTTCGATACAAGTACTTTAATAATATAGTATAAGTATTTTAATAATATAGTGTGCTGTATCTGTGTGTGACGTTTCTTGTGATACGTTATTTAAACTCAATACTTCGAATACACTAACATTTTACTGTTTTAACACAGGTTCCTGCTTAAATTGTGCCAAATTGATTAAAGCAGTGATTCGGTAATGTGACAGATATATATTTTGGCTCACAGTGTCCGTAAGAGCTACATACATAGTCAATATTAAATACAGAAATTCATTGTGATTTAATATACTACATGGCATACTAGTTTTTTTAAGGACTTATTAATTCTGAATAATTTAAATCCTCTGCTTACAATAATATTCGAAGTTATTTACTAGCTATTTACGTTCCATATAACGTATAAGTCACGTGAATATTAATTTTACGATATTTTATCGATTCCAGAGCGATAAAATCGAACCGAAGGACTTCACCTTCGAAAAATTCAAAACATTGTACTTCAAAGTTTGTCCACGAAACGACATCGAAGAACTGTTCCAATCGATGTAAGAATTTAGTTTAAACTCCGTTTATTTATTTTGAACAGTTCGACATAACGCTAAAATAAATATACTTATAATAAAAAGAACATTTTATGTTTTAGAACAAAAGGAAAATCAGATACGATCACTCTGGCTCAACTAGTGCAGTTTATGAACGAGAAACAGAGAGATCCTAGGCTCAATGAAATTTTGTATCCTCTGTACCATGAAAAACGATGCACAGAGATTATTAATGATTACGAACAAGATGAAAAAGCAAGGGACGCAAGTATGTTGTCACTTACGAATATATTTACTCGTTCGAAGCATGAACAATCGGCATGTGAAAAAAAATTTCTGGAACGAGCTTATTGATTCATCCGTATTTAGAGTATTTCACCAAACCTGTTGCAAGCTGCAATTTAAGAATCTTTGTTAATCAATAATATCGACATTAACATCTCTGTTATTATCTATATTATATATATAGTAATATATATAATATATATATTATATATATATATTATTATATTATTGTAAGTAGAGCAAGTGAATCTGACTTTCATTAACAGCATGGAAGATCTTCGACAAAGTAAAACACATTTCTGCAAACTTTCAAGAAATGTACAAAGCCATTCTTGTTCAAATTAGCAGAACTCTGTCTTGCAGAAGAGGGAATTCAGCTTAAACAATTACATACTTTAATGACTCCCATGCATTCTGTATTTACGAAAATTCGTTTACTTTGGAGATTGCGATATTATGCTTGAGTAACAAAGTCGTAAATAAGAAGCAGAGAAATATTATATCGATTGTAATATCAAGTAATTATTTCAAAGAAAATATGTAACTAGACCATCGTGTTCGTCTTTCTTTACAGTTCCAAAATATCGTAAAGAAAACATATAGTAATATTTAAAATATGTAAAATATAATTGCTATATTTTACGTTAAAAAATAATTTTCCAAAATTATTTTTGCCTTCTGAATGTCTGCAAAGCAGCATTAATTTTGTGTGAAATTGTAATCATATAAATTATTCTTTTCGTAGAAAGTTTCACTAAAGATGGATTCATTCGTTATTTAATGTCCGACGAAAATGCACCCGTGTTCTTGGACAAACTGGAGGAGTGGATGGACATGGACCAACCCCTTTCTCATTACTACATTAATTCGAGCCATAATACCTATCTAAGCGGCAGGCAGATCGGTGGTAAAAGCACCGTTGAGATGTATAGACAAGTACTTTTAGCTGGCTGCAGGTAAACCGTTCACTATCTTTTGCATGCTGTGGCTTAAAGAATTTGTTATCAAAATATAAATAAGAAACAGGGAATTCTTTATAAAACTATTATGAAGAAACAAAAATTGTTTTATTAAACTATGCATAAGAAACAGGCAATTCTTTATAAAAATATAAATGAGAAACAGGGAATTCTTTATAAAAATATAAATAAGGAACAGGAAATTTTTTACAAAAACATGAATAAGAATGAAAATCCTGTAGAAAAATATAAGTAAGAAACAGAGAATTATTTACCTTACTATTTTATGAAATAAATTCAACTGTGAACCAAAAGTATAAATGAAGTGAAAATTAGTTGAATGAAATAAATAGATTAAGGACCAGCAACACACTATTGACAGATGCGTGGAGCTCGATTGCTGGGACGGAAAAGGAGAAGATGAGGAGCCAATCATAACTCACGGGAAAGCCATGTGTACCGATATTCTTTTCAAAGACGTCATTATTGCTCTAAGAGACACTGCATTCGTTACGTCGGAATATCCTATAATTCTGAGTTTCGAAAACCATTGCTGTCTGAAACAGCAATACAAATTAGCTAAATACTGCGACGAGATATTGGGAGATTTGCTGTTAAAGGAACCTCTAAAGGATTACCCGGTGAGTGAAATTGATTTCTGGTGCTTTTTTTTACTATTATATCAAATATCGAACCACGATATCGCTGGACGTAGTTAGTGATTATATTAGCGGTTATATTAGTGTGATTAAAATTATTTAGAGGAAAATATCACTTAAAATGTTTTAAAACATCTGAAAAATTTGACGTGTACTTTTCTAAAACAATATGTAAATCAAATGATTTTGATTTAACATAATCCGTTTACAATGTCTTATTAATCACGTTTTGTCAAAAATCGTAAGTCTTATTCAATCTTTTTAATTCAATTAGAAGAACACGATACTACAGATTAATATAAATAGACCGCGGATCTTCAGACAAAATACAAACTTTTTTAATTAATTGCAGGAAACAGAAAATAGATAAAAATTTCTTCTTTTAATAATTTCGATAAATTAAGGGGAACGTAAGAACGTTCTTAAATTCTTTTAATGTCCTCACTGTTTGATATTTCACTTAGTCAATCTTAACATAAGTGCATAGAATCCGCAGACTAGTTAATTTAACGACTTTCTCCTATATTAATAATTAGGTTACAAATGAATATCATTAGACACACAGTGAAAAGTTGAAAATTTGAAAATGAGAAAATATCAACCTGTGAAAACCTCGGTTTAAAACGGATTTTATACACGTTATTTATTAACGTCGCAATGCCATAACAAGTGAGAACGATCGCGAAGCATTTCCTCTGGTTTAATAATTTACGTCTGTTTTCTCCCCGAGAAGAATAGATAGAGAACTTCATAAATAATCGCAAATTAAATGCTACAGCTTGAACCAGGACAACCGCTTCCACCTCCAAGCGCATTGAAGCGCAAAATATTAATTAAGAATAAGAGGCTGAAGCCGGAGGTAGAGAAAGCCGAACTCGAGTTATTCCGCTCCGGACAATTCGAAGCGAAGGATGAAGTGGTTGAAGATCCTAACGCACCTGCGCCACCACCACAGGAACCAAAGGTTTATCACTATCATTGTACTTTTCGTTCAAATCAGGTTTTTATGTCTGCCGCTTTGACGTTCCGAGCTCTAATGAGACCAACAATTATTATCTAACAACTCTGTCTATCGAATTATGAATTGTCATTACAAATGTTATTATTATTATTCTCGGTTGTAAATATTGTTACAAATTTAAAATGCTTTATATTAATTAACGCAAAAATTATATAGTCCGAGATAGTCAGAAACAATTACATATTAGGTGTATAATGAACGGTTACAGGCAATAGAAAACATAAACGATCAAAATAAATGCGATCATTGAAATGATTGTATATAATTAAAGTACGAATTATTCAACATAGTATAATTGTTCTTCTGGTTTCTATCGTCAACTGTTTATAGTAACATACATTGTAAAATCATATCATTATAACATGAATATGGTTATAAACTTAAATTTATTCAATTACTATTCACCGATAA